CCCAGAGGTCCCGGAAAACCCCCCCGCTGGTGAAAAAAAAAAAAAAAAAAAAAAAAAAAAAAAAAGCAGAGCACAAGTCAAAAAAGCAAAAAAGCACAGGGCTCTCTACACATTTTTAATCCTCCCGCAGCTCTGCAGCCTTGGCTCAGGGACAGTGCGTCCTGATTGACAACAATGGGGAGAAGGATCCCTGCTGCTGCAGAGGCTCTGTGTGTGGCTGCCTCCCTCCTGCATAAAAGAGGGGCTTAGATGGGGGCAGGGGGTGAGGCCAGCATTGCACCATACCCTATAGTTTGGGATCCTTCAGGCTCCGTCCCTTGGTTAGGGCTGTTTGCATGGGACACTACGGGCGGCCGCGTTTTGCCTGCCCCAGCTCTCCCTGGGGAGCCGCCAGCAAAGATTATACAACACGAACAGAGTGGCTGGAGGCAGTGGAGTAGGCAGAGGGAAGGGTGCTTGGGGTAAGGAAGAAGCTCGGGAAAGGAAGGGGGGAGCATGGAAGCGGGTGTCACGGGGAGAGGACTTTTGCAGTTGGAAGAGGACTGGAATGGACTCTGGGAGGGTTTAGAGAGCTGATGGGGAGAAATGTCTGAAAGGGGAGAAGTGCAACAGGAAGTAGCTGTAGGAGACTTTCAGCATCATTCTCCTCCCTTCCCCCAGGATCTAGCTTTTTTGGCTCTTACTCCTCATTTCCCTGGGGAATCAGATCCCCACACGAACGATCCTGAGAATGTAGACCCTTCTCCATCACTCCCCTCACCCCCAACCACTTATGTATGTCTCCATCCCTTGACAAGAACCAGACCTTGGAGCTTTTGCTCGTGCTAGGGATGGGGAAAGGCGAGGGGCTCCCCGGGCAGCAGGGAAGGAGCACTGTGGAGCAGCAAGTGGGGCCCAGAGGGGTGTGAGCTGATGCAGCTGTACTGCTGCTGATCCAGACATGAACTTCTCCTCCGCCAGATCCAGGGCCTCTGCTAGGCAGTGCACATTTACATTTTTACCAAGAAACTGCTGCTACCTATATAATAACCTGGATTAATGCAGTCAGCATGTTTCACACTTCCGACAGTTGTCTTTCAGTATACTAGGAAGGCGAAAGTTGAATGAGGGAAAAATATAAGGAAAATAAAAAGGAAGTTGTGGTGCACTATGTAGATATATACGTTTGTAGCAAGAATCTCTCATGTCCCTCTAACGTGCCTTTTCATCAAGTTTAATGGATATGACTTCACTTTCAGTTTTAAATCTGGGGCTTTTCTTACTTCAGAGAGCATATTCCACACACACCTTTAGTACAATTAAGTATTTGACTTCAGTAGACTTTATGGAAAATGCAATGAAAATGTTATAAAGAGCAGTAGAAATCCTAATACACCAAAATAAAGTCAGTGGACCCCCCTGAAGAGAGTAACTCTTCTCATGGAGCCTGATCCTTGCTGATGTCCATGGGAGAATACACAGGAATATTAACGATGCCGATTAAGAGATGCAAGAAGCTGAAACTACAGCTGATCTGTCACTGTCACGTAATTTTTCTCCTGATCCTTAAAACAAGGTAGAAAAATCAGGAAAATGTCAGCCTCTTTTAGACCTTACCTGTAAATAGATCCTGTTGTGCCACCGCTGCACTCCAGGTAAAGCTGCTTCTGGGAATTTTGCCCAGTTGGCTGGTAGAAAGGCAGAGTTTTTCACTAAAGATTTAACCTCCAGTTGCAGGAATTTATCAGGATGGTTGTTGTTTGGCAAAACGGAGAGGTCCATGTTTCTGTGCTGCAGAGTAATAATGAAAACAGCCCCAGCTTCTGCTTCCTGGCTGTGCATGCTCTTTCTATTATTAATGATGTGAAGAAGGATACAACAGTTTCCTGAAACTGTATCTGACCCCTGTTTGGTATCAGGCTCACTTATATCATCTACCAACAATAAAAGATTGTTTAGAAGTGGCAGAGCAGATAGGACAAGTTTCTGTAAGTGCCTGAATTAAGTTTTCAGGTTCAAGGTCTATTTTGATAGATACATACGTGCTCATTAATACTGAGTACCAGTGAGTAGATGCATAAGACACCTAAATGCATACCAGCACTTCCTCAAGTTATCTGCCAAAAATGTCAAGCCTACAATACTTCAAAGTAACATTTTTCCCCCCGAGAAAATTAGAAGCAGCTTCCTGTCAAAGCAAGTCTTCCTTTTCTGCAGCAGTACCAAGAGGCTCCATTGTGCTGTGTGAGTTGGTACCATTTACCACAACAGCTATGACATGCACTTTTTTTTAGGGTCAAGGATTTCTTTCACAGTAAATTACTCTTGACCCTGGGAAATATTAGATTGTTTCAAGTAATTGATAACAGAAGTTTTCAGGGAATTGATTCTGCTCCCATTCAAGTGCATGGAAAAATTCACTGTAACTGACTTGAATGGTATGGTCTCAGTCCCATCACTTTTATTATTTTATTCTGAGATTTGATATTTTCACCATCATTTTATGAGTCTTAAGTCCTTTTGACTTTCAGCTAATGAAATTCTCCTTCTCATTATGGCCTCTATGTATGACTAGCAAAAGCAGTCTCCTCATTCTTATTTTAACCTTTTCTTAAAATATGTATGTTTTTCTAGGATATGTTTCATTTAGATGAAATTGCCACAGAGGATAAGCTTTTGAAAGGTCATTGCTTGAAATCCAGGAGAACTTTTTTTGAATCAAATTTGTGCTGAGAATGAGAGCATCACAAAATATTTAACTCTGTACTTAGACACAGAATTGAACCAATCTATTTACCACACAGAAAATAGCTGAAATATAGAAACTAAATAAAAATAGGAAAACATTTTAAAATCCTAAAGTTAAAATGAATAGTTGGATATACATATAAGTTATACCAGTTATTTAATTAAAGAGCTCATGATGTTTCCTTGCATGTAATTATTGGAGATTATTTTAAACCATATCTGTTTAAAATTATTAATACGCCACATTTCAAGTAGATGCTCAAAAAAGTATCTGTGAGCAGCCACAAAGACAGTAGTGACTGTGCTTCTGAGCAAATGTGCATGCTTCTGGGGAACCTGGTGCTACATTTACAACTATGTCTCCCCAGTTTAATGAGGCCCTGAAACACTAATACACCTTTCCAGTGTACCCTAGGGATTACCATGAAGCTGCTGGTTTGGATTTACCATGACATATAGTTCTCACTTTTTCCCTGTGCAGTAATAACTCAGAGAGTAATAATTGTGTTCTGAAATGCATGGGTATATGAAACCATGACTTCTAAAACATAGGCTTTCCAGTATCTCTAGAAACACAGGGCTTTTCTGTGCTACTGTAGCATAAGATGTTGTGTGTGCCTGTGTGAGTTTACATACCAACATTACTCCATTGGATATAAGAACATAAAAGGTATCTTATTAAGTCAGACGTCTCCCAATCCCAGGATCTATCACTTTGTTTGAAAAGGACAGGAACGAGATGCTGTTTAGTGTACACCCTGCTACTTTCTGCAGTTCATTCTTCTACTCTTTCAGAAGCCACAAAACTTTTTCTTTTTGTGCTGACGTATCTCTTTTACAGGCCTTTTATTATCTATTTATAAATTGTCAATAAAGTTGTCTAACTGCTTTTCAATTCTTCTGATAGTACCTCCTCCAGAAGCAAGATTCAGAACCTCATGACCATCTGGATAAACTGGACATAAAATTATTTTTATGTCTTTTAAATTAATTTCCGTATTAACCATAACAAAGATACCGTCTTTGTAGTACTGCAGGGTTTTAAGTAGAGCTCCCCATGCAGCTTATCCAACACCTTCAGGATTTTTTAAACTATAGTTAATTCAGTCTCTTTCTTTTCAATCTGAATTATCAACATTTTAAATCTCATCTTGTAAGCCACCTAGTCTATCTCCTTGCTAATTTATTTTCCATTTTCAATGTGTTGCACTGTAATTCCACTACATTGTTCATAAGAATACAGCAACCATAAATGAATACAATGCTCATGTTGTGGTTACACCAGTTCCAAAAATGGGAAAAAATATATCTTTCCTTCTGAAAACATCCATCAGTTTTTGGTGCATTTTTCTCTGCTATTCCCTGCTATGAAGCAGTAGTGACTCTCACAGGGCTAGTAACTTCACTTCTGTGACTGCCAGTTGCAAATTCAGTGTCTCATAGGAATGGTTCAGGCTGTTTTTATAGCTATAATACTTGACATATACCTACATCGAAGTTTTTGTTAATGTCTTGTCTAATCTCTAATGTCTGTCTAACTCAGTTTTGTGTTTCTTGCCAACTGAGGCAAGAGTTAACCAGAAGACCTTTACGGCACCTGCGTAGATGGTGAACTCAGTTTTTGCTCTTCCTCATGCCACGGTTGAAAATACCAAAAAACCTAACTCCTTAGGGAACCATACTGCTGACTTCTCTCCATCCTGAAAGATGACCATTTTGCTTCCAATACTTCAATCACCTTACAAGATTGTTCCTTACAAGACTGTTCCTGTAGTCCTGTGTGAATGCAGTTTCTTGAATATCCTGTAGAACTGAACTTTGTCAGAGATTTGTGTGTCCAGCAGATCCTCTTTGCTCCATTCACAACTGAAGCCATGCTGACTCTCACCCAAGAGCACATGCTTATCCAGGTGCTCAGGGATCTTACTTTTTTTTATTGGCTATTACGGCAATCTGTAGCTCATGGGGTTGCCTTTTCCACAGGCAGGAATTATACTGCAGTCTGCCAGTCTGGCAGACTGACTCTGCAACGACAGCTTAGGTCCATGGCAAGAGGCTCTGATACCACTTTCCCAGTTGTGTTCTTCCAATATTCTCAGGTGGCTGCAACCCTAGATACTATTTGCGTTGAACACACTTATTTGGTCTTACTTTCCTGTACATGTCCTTCACCTTGATCCAACTTCTATGACATCTCTGCTATAAGGAACCCTGCAACATTTCATCTGGAAAAGCCAACACAAGTAATTCACTGAACTTCACTTAACTTTCACTGCTTTACCACTCCTGAGTGTCCCTTTCACACTTGTGCTATCAGACGGCCCCACTGTCTCCCCTTTCGGCTTCCTGGTTTGGATGTATTTCAAGTTCCCTTTCTATTAGTTTGCACATCTTTTTTTTCAGACGTCTTTAAATTGTTTCTGAGTACTTATAATTTTCTTTTTATAATTTATCTGTTAGGTTTTAGGGCCTCCATTGGTCTCTTGTCGGCCAGCATTCTATTTTTAGTGTATTTTTTGAATATGCAAATGTCACTGAAGAAGATAATGAAAACTGAATGGAAAAAGCCTGAAACAACCCAAAATGTAACCCACTTCCTCTAGAACTAAGCAGCAATTTCCCTTCAGAATAAATGACAATGCTATTAAAATTCAGGTATTTCTTTAACAGAGTTATGAGAAGTGGTAGCTGTTGTAACTTTTGATCACTACTCTAGTTGGCCAGCACATATGCAGGAGGAGGAAGTAAACCTGCTGTGCACCAGCCTAGCACAATCCCTGTGTACCACTTAAATCCCACTTAATCCAACAAAATAGGGTCTAAGTGGTATTTAATTAGCAGAAAGGCCTACTCTAGCCCTTAGGAGTCAAGAATGAATTTCACCTTTACATGCCAGCTGAACTTGATTGATTTGACACTCATTTGTTGAAAAAAAAAAGAAAAGTAAAACTCTGGACTGTTTATGCCTGCATAAGGCTGTGGCTTGCCTGAGCTGGAAAGGGCTGCCTGCTGCCACCCAGGTCTATGGAAAACTCTGCAGGGCTGGCACATGCCTGCCTTCCCTGCAGCATGCTGTGGCTCAAGCCATAGTGTGGGCACATTTTCAGAATGTTCTTATAATCTTCTGACCAAAAGGGTATTTCAGTCTGTACTGCTCCTCTGAATGATGACAGGATATACTGAAGCAGTAAAATGAACTTGCTTTCAAATTCAGAGGTATATTTGCTATTTAGACACAAAACTGCTTCAAAATGATTCACACACATTTAACTAGTACTTTTGTACTACAGATGCTAAAGAAATCAGAACCAGACTTATCAGCACTGTAACATCCTGATTTCACTATAACGTCCTGATCAGACTGTAACATCCTGATTTCACTCATTACATTTAAAAAAAAAAAGTCATTTTAGACCACAATTTTCCATCACTGTCTCCCAATAAAAAGTACTTCCTTTTTATGATCTGATAGAGGTGATGGGAGGATGATTTCAGCAGCAGTCACTGATTTGTTTTTGACAGATATAGCCAGAGTTAAAACACACTTCTTAAATTTTGTGATTAAGATGACATTCTTGTTAGTAAATATTCAAAATCAGCAGAGCATAAACATTTAGAACTGTGAGGATGATATCACTGGCTGATAAAAATTTTCCTCTGGCCCCTGGCCTGGAGCCATCTTTTCTTTTGCTTGATTTTCAATTGTGATTCAAGTGAGTGCAGGAGTATTACCAAGATCTGGTGGTAAGTATGAAGAAAATTTAAAATAATACTTGCTTCTTTTGCCTGCCAAGTACAGTAATTCTATTAGACTTTCAAATGTGCTTCTGTGACTTTAAGGAATTATGCCCCAAGGCAACTGAATTTTCTATGCACTGAAACTTTTTAATTATACAAAACATAACATTCTATGATGTCAACATTATTTTTCTTTTTTTTTACTTTTCAAAACCAGAAGTTATTTTATTTAAAAACATACACAAGCACCTCATTAAAGTTGCAGTTTTCAAATGCAGAGCAGTAAGATGCCAAACTGAAGATTTTGATAGTACAGCTATTTGAAACACAGATGTTGATTTCAATGGTAGTTAAGACTGCATCTAAGTATTCTTCCTGGACAGAATCACAGTCCTGACTGGGGGCCACAGTTTATTGTCTGTGGGTATCTGTGGTTATCTGTCTGTGGAAAGTGTGTATTACATCTATACACTAGACTCTTTGAAGAGAAGGAAAAGCAAGAATCACTTAAATAAAGCTGCATTCGCTTTCTGTTTTGAGTAGAAAATATGCCTTTCTGGTTTATTTCTCCAGCTGTCTTGCCTTCAGGATTTGCTCTCCCACATATTTTAAGAACATACTTAAAGACTTGCATCACAAAATGAGAGCAGAAGACCCGCTGCTATCCAATTGCCAAGTTCAGCAGTTACAGGACTCACCTGAGATAAATTCTCCACAGAATGTTACCTTGCTATTCTCAACTTTCCATATATATATATATATATATATACACATATATATATATATATATATATATACACACATCTCAAGGCTCACAGAGTGACATGTCTGTCTGCAGCTGCAGAATGGTGCCTAAGTCAAGAGGCAGAACGCACTCATACTGTAGCTGTACCTGCTGCAATGCAGGGCTCGATGGATTAATCCACCAGACCCAGACACACAAAAAAAAAGAAAAATTCAAACAGCAAAACGAGCTTTACTTTTTATTGAAAACGTAAAAATCATGTGAATCATGTACAGTATTTTCTCATAAGGAAAATCTTAGCTGTTTCACAATGTTTCACAAAACTGTAAAACATTTAATTTTTATAAAGACTTTTTCATTAGTTAAAGATAAAACTAAAGTAGTATTACAAAGCTATTTTCTAAATTAGTAACAGAGAACTGAGAATGTTTAACAGATTAATCCATACAAGTGGCAGGAGAAAGGACTCTTCCATTTGTAAATCTGCAAAAGGACACACAAAGGTATAGAGGGGCATGGGTTTTTTGTTTCAAAACTTTAAAAAATTAAGTGACATGTTAAAACACTACAGACGTGGATTCATAGGATGGTACAAGTTCTAGGACTGCATTTCTCTACACTACCTCAAACAGTGCAACAGTGATTCAGTGTAAATCTCTACAGTGTTTCATTGATTTAATACTTGTGTTCAAGTATGTGTCCATGAGAATGATCAAAATCTCTACTTAGCTATTTTAATTTTCTTGTTTATAATATAAGTTACAGTAGAATATCCCCTTCAGTATGTTTCTAAATCAAATGAACTAATTTCACAATACATTCTGTAATAACCTGTTTAATAATGTTAGCTTGTTCACTTTGACATCGGTTGCAAAAAACACAAGCTCATTCTGACTCCAAATGCCAAAAATATAATAAAATTAAAAAGAACTTTATTTCCATATACAACAAAACTATTCAGCTAAATTAAAATAAATTCAAGATAACATGACTTTTTTTTTTTTGCAACAGATGATGTTACTGAAAATAAACATGTAAAATACTAGTTACTATTTTTTTAAAAATTCTGATAAATGTATCCAAAATTGTTCATATAAAAATTAATTATGAAAATGTCAGAAGATAAAACATATTGGCTGTTTAACCAAAACCATTAAGGATGTCTGGCAGGCAAAAATAAATTAATTTGTTTAAATTATATGTCATCTGATAATATTTGGTCTGAAAAAGCCTGTGTGGGTGTGTGTGTGTGTTTATAAATAATAAGATTGCAAAGAACTGAGAGCCAGCCAGCCTGACAGAGGTCAGCTCTTTTGTTGCATTTTTTGCGCATAAAAGTCCCTGCACGTCTCACAGCATCGCTGATACCACCTCATGTCTTGACAGAGGTTCTTCTCCCTTATAACTCTGCAGTACACAGGCCACTGGTCTCCTAGGCACTTGAATGTCAAAGCAGCTGTGAAACAACAACAGAAAAATCAAATATACATTACTGTTGCCTTTACTAGTGAAGAATCATGTACCAAAAGAGACAAGGACATAAGAAGTGTATCTGGGGAAGAGAAAGGGTTATAGATGTAGATATTTAACAAAAGAATGAATTCCCCTTGTCCTCCTGTTGTCAATATATTCAACATAAAAAATTTTAAGGCCAGCTTTATTTACAAATTGGGTTAAGTTGCATCAAACTTAATTAGTTTAATGTCATGTGACTGTCTTCTCATGAGTAAGTGGAGCTCACAGCTTATCACAGAAGGATTGTGTCACTGAAGTTGGAACTCTTCACGTTTAGTTATACGTATCAAGTATAACTAAGTACTGGCATATGTAGTACATACATGGAATTAAAATGGGAACCCAGTGAAAAACAGGACACAGGAACAAGATATTGTCCAAAACCCATCACAAACACTGAAAAATAAGTCAATCTCAGACTTGAATTAATCTCCTATGGTAACAGAAGAGAAATTTGTAAAAGAGCTGGTGGCACAATCCCCATCAGCTTTCAGTAGCCCTATCCCCAATTCAAAAAATCTCTACTGCAAGATATGAATGGAACTGGAGGCCAAAATTATTAGTATATTGAAGAGAAGCATTCCATTATGTATTTCAGAGATTTTACGGTTTCTACTGGATTGGATTCTGACTCCATGCTGGATGACATTGATTTGTAGATTACTAATATCAGTCCTAAACAATCCATGCCATGAGGACAGTGTGGCCAGCAGGCCCAGGGAGGTCATCCTTCCCCTGTGCTCGGCACTGGTGAGGTCACACCTTGAGAGCTGTGTCCAGTTCTGAGCCCTCACTTTGGGAAGGACATTGAGACGCTTGAGCGTGTCTGGAAGAGGCAACGAGGCTGGTGAGGGGCTTGGAACACAAGGCCTGTGAGGAAAAACTGAGAGAGCTGGGGGTGTTTAGCCTGGAGGAAAGGAGACACAGAGGTGACCTTATCGCTCTGTACAACTTACTGAAGGGTGGTTGTAGTCAGGTGGGGTTGGTCTCTTTCTCCAGGCAACAAATGTCAGAATGAGAGAAAACAGTCTTAAGCTGTGACATGGGAAATACAGGTTGGATATTAGAAAGAAGTTTTTCACAGAAAGAGTGATAAAATGTTGGAATGGGGTGCCTGGGAAGGTGGTGGAATCACCATCCCTGGATGCGTTTAAAAAAAGACTGGGTATGGCACTCGGTGCCACGGTTCTAGTTAAGGTGTTTAGGGAATGGGTTGGACTTGATGATCTTGAAGGTCTCTTCCAACCTAGTTATTCTGTGATTCTGTGTGACAATATACCCCCGTCTTTTTTTTTTTTTGCACTTCACATTAAGTCAAATTTTTATTGACACTGTATTTTTTGTGTGACTTTCTGATTCACTTGACTCTGTGACGCAAAGCTGCTTATATAACCTCACCAGAGGAAAATCATCAATGATGGGGAGATAGCATCTTGCTTCTGAGAGGCCAGCTGAACAATGAAAGATAAAGTACAAAGGGGAGGAACATTCAAGCAGTGAAATGCAAGGAGAGGACCATAAGCAACAGCAAATTGCAACAATGACTACTGTGCAGAAATGTTCAAAGGTTAAAAACCTCAAAGAGAAATAAGCTTCACTGTCTTAAAAGAACTATTGCACACAGTCTGAAATGCCTGTGTTGTTTTCCACATGGGAGTAATCTATTGGACAGAAGGATTTATCTTAACAAGGGCTCTGGAAAATCAGCCAGAGCAGGTGTGCTGTCTTAGAAGAAGCCTTTGAATACTCTTGTCATGCTCAAGATGCAGATGAATTATTAGGGGAACTAATGGTAATCATCATGAACAAGGCACTAGGAAACAAAAACTACCAGAATTAACAGTTCTGTAGTTATATAATGACATAATTTCTTTAAGAATAGAATAGACCTGAATTCTGGCAGGTACAGCAAATCTCTTCATTCAAAGTAATTTTCTTTCACACATCCTAATACATCAGGCACAGATGTAGATTTGAACTAAAGACGTGGAAAAAGCTGTTTGTTTTTAAAGAACAAATAAGGGCCTCCTTGATCTCACAAATATCAAGAGAACACAGTTTGCAACATTTTTGAACAGAAAAGAAGGTATTTTCTTACTTTAGAAAGATTTGATAAAATTGGGTGAATACATACAAAAGCATATATGTTTATAGTGTCTCTAATATAAATACATTTTCATACGGGACATTTTGTTCCCTTAATATCATACAGTCTTTTAATAAGGTCCTTCCTTGGATAACAAAACCCTTCACCACTCTTAGTTACAGTCTCTGATTACAGTACATACTGAGGCAGGAAGATCAGTCTCTGCACAGAATTTAAATCTCCTGAATACCTCCTGACTTCTGTTTCTAAACTGGGATCATCATTGCTGTATGGAGAGAAAGCTCTGAAAAGAGATTTTCATCTTTGACTGCTTACCTAACCTGGGTGATGTTATTGTATTAACATTAATTTTCTCATTGCAGGGATGGAGATGACAGGGTCTGTAGGCTGCAGGCTTTTCTGAAGAAAAGCATTCATTGCCATGCCTTCCCGTGATCTTGTGCATGCACTGGATGACTCGAGACTGCATTCCTTTGCCACAGGTGACAGAGCACTGGAACACACAGTAGAACATTCATTGTAAAGGTATTTTTGCCGGTAATCATGAACATGAATTACCAGTCCACGTGAAGTGAGTGGCTGCTTCTTCAGATGCCAGCATTCCAATATTTTTGAATTATATTCCATTAGTTAAATGAAAATCAATTTTAAAAGCACAAATTAATTAACAGTACTAATTGAAGGACTCACACATTCACACAGTAGAACATTCATTGTAAAGGTATTTTTGCCGGTAATCATGAACATGAATTACCAGTCCACGTGAAGTGAGTGGCTGCTTCTTCAGATGCCAGCATTCCAATATTTTTGAATTATATTCCATTAGTTAAATGAAAATCAATTTTAAAAGCACAAATTAATTAACAGTACTAATTGAAGGACTCACTCCAGCATCCTATTGCTATCCAAGTCCATTTTGCAGAGCCTGTGATGAAACTCAAATACAGCAATGTGAAGCAAACATTACTCTCTCATATCTATATACAAATTTACTCTTATTAGAGGTTACAGTGATGGTAAAAACAGTCACAGATAGTGCAGAGAGAAGAATTTTTAATAAAGTCATTAGTTAACCACAGCAAAAGTGCTCTTTCTGCTGAGCATAATTAATGCCTCCTGTCTTTGCATCACATCTTCATGTTTTCACATGTGTCTCACAAATAAAACAGAGTGCGAGACATGATGCCTGGCCTTTAATCAATCTTGACATCTTGTTGCCACAGAGAATGAGGTAAGAAAATAAAACAACTGAGCACTGTAACAATGGTAACATTTTACTTCTATCACAGTAACACAATATATTAGAGTGAAAACTTGGACAGTGATACAAAACCTATTCCAAACAAACAAAACAAAAACCAAACCAAAATATGCTTTTGCCTTTTCTGACTTTTTGTGAACAAAATTTCATAGGACATGAATTACTTTCCTGTCCATTTGACTCACATGCTATTGCTTTAACTACAAATCTATCGACAATTACATATTAGAATTTTATCGCAGCCTCTAGTGATTTTGACTCAAGTACCCAGAAATTTCACCTATTTTTACAGAAATTTTCTGTATAGAACATCTTCAAATACTAATCAGTTTCTTGTAATGAATAATTTAAGACCTCAGGCTGCAATCCCAAAAATGTTTTTCTAAATATTTTTTATTACATAAATATTCAGAATATATTTTCTTGAGAGGCTTCAAGAAGCAGCTGAAAAAAAAACTGAAACAAGAAAGATAAGGAGAAGGTGGTATAACAAAAAATGTTTCCCAGCCATCCTGTCTCAAGATGGAGAAGTATAGTTTTCTTCAAAGGAAGATGGAGAAGTATAGTTTTCTTTAATAAACTTTGACTATGTGGAACGCTAAACAAGTCCTTATCCTTTGGTTTGGTTATCTATGTGCATTTAAGTGACATTTTAAACACTTATGTGGAAGAAAGATTTACACATGCTTTAAGATTTAAACGGGAAATAGAGGACTTGTGCCCCAATATGTGCATCAAGAGAAGGGAGACTCCTGTCTTTTGGACTATAAGACTCCAAGAGATTACAAAAGACTAGGATATACATTTGGATGTTTTCACAAAGGACTGAACTTGTAACCACATGAAATCAAACACTGACATTTTATAGAGGCAGCAAGTGGACTTGATTTTGCTCCTGTTCTCAGTGAGCCAATACAGAACTGTATCTTGCCGAGTTAATCAGATACAGCCTCCATAAGCCAAGGCATGTAAAGATATTAAATTATGAATACACAGTTGTCTATTCAGTATCAACCGCAGTTTAACACATGAACAAATATACGCTTTACAAGAGGGAAATCAGTTAGTACTGAATTATTTTCAAAGTATGCTATCAAATCTAGTATACTGCTGTAAAATTGCATGAGAAAAGTCTCTCAACAGAACTCCCCTTCTTGAATTCTCTGCCTTTTCTCTTTGCAGCTAAAAATAATCTGAGTTGCTATAACAGACAACATTATGCACACGGTCAACATGTAAAATCACACATATATCGACACAAATTTTGTTCCCAATAGCAGATGGAATATAGATTTTAATCTTGCTGAAATTCTGACCACTCCTTAAATTCCTCTCATCCTAGTTTCAGAGATATTTATTTTTGGAATATTTTAATGAAGGTAAAATTGAGACAATGGAAAAGCAAAATTAAAAAAAAAGGTGAAAAAAAAGACAAAACTAAAACTACAACATAAAGAGAAAACAAATGTGAGAGTAAAAGGAAAATGAAGGTGATATGATGAAGCTAATATGTTGAAAATCTCTACTAATGAAAGATAATCTTTAAATGTTATCACAGTGATCTTAATTTAGAGTAATATTGCACGCAGTATTACAATTTTTTTCCTTCAAAGATTTGTATGTTTATCAACCAAAGTCAGACTATGTGCAAGTGTGTGGTACTCCTTTAGTCCACTGCAGAGAAGGAGGATATGGGCAGGTGGACCCGGTACATAAGATCTCAAAAAATAATTTCTTTGTCCTTAGGTCATCCTAAAGTAAGTAGGTGCAATCCAGCCACCGGGAATACTGGAGGGGAAAATGGGATTTGAAAAAGACTAGTCTTTTGCTAACAAAATGGGTTCCAATGGTTTATCTGCTAATTGGTAATGCCAAAAAATTCATGTAGGCAGGTGCCTTTGTGAAGAGCACTCTGGCAGCAGTCACATCTTCTCTACATCAAATGACCTCTGGCTTGAAAGTTTGTTGTGACTGCAACTGACACAACAAGCAACAAACAGACAAATTTCTCAGCTAATCAGTGTTTAGGTATGAATTTCCATTCAGAATCTGGCAAGAATTTGACATTAAAATCTTAACTGGTGAATTAATATCTTTTAAATAACTGAGCCTGCGCTGGCCTTGGTGAGATATTCCAGTTGTTATGAAGCATTACAACGTAGTTTTCCATCCCAACATGTAGAGATCAAGACAATTTGTCTTGCTTGACCTGCCTATTAATATCACAATTTCAGAAACTGACATCAAAAGATGATTAAAGGAAATATGTGGCAAAGCAGGAAATAGAGAAATTTGTGCTCTATGTTCTTTTATTTTCACAGAAATGTACTAATTTTAACAGTGCATGTATTTTTATTAAAAAAAAAAATGGGAACTTACTAGGCCTTGTAAGATGCTTGTGGAACATCAAGAAGAAGCAGGGTTACCCCAGTGATTTGCAATCCAAAACTTTTAAACCCAGCCAAGTCAACATGCAAGTAAAGCAAGATTTCTCCAAACACCTAGGGTTTTAAAATCAATGAGGGATCTGATAAGCATGCTGTGCTCTTCTATGTTCACACAGCAGCAGCAGCACCAGCAGTAGTGTCTGACTTTGAAATTAAGAATTCTACTGACTGGAAGCCAGGAAAAAAAAAAATTAACACAAAAGCTCATATTAGCTATTAGCTATAGCCTATTAGCTATTAGCCTATATTTAAAATAGTACGAAATAGGGAAAGCATCAGGCATTTAGCAGTGCACATGCTAGCTACACAGACAAATAGTGAAGTTTCTGTGTCCATGATGTCCATATCTTAAATGTGAGTTTGTCTTGCAAACACATCAGCCAACTGCTGCTGTAATTTTCTGTGAATTTTGAAGAATAAAAGTAACTTGTATTTTTCTTCTTTATCCTGAAAAGATATGGGCTTGTTCTGGCTTTACTAGGAGATACCTCAACTTCTGCAGACCAGTCAGATGAACCTTCTAAGCAACAGCTCCAACCCTCATTTTGACACTCATTTTACTGTACATGTATGTGTACATTGAAGCTGAAGCACTCTTCCAAAACTGCCTCCCAAACTTAACTTTGGATTTCTCTCACTGCAAATATTCAATCTGATGTAAATACCTTTGACTGGATATGCAGCTGTCACATTTTAGGTAGCGCTCATGGTATGTAGCTGAAGTCATATAGGTTCTGTATACTTCTGGTCTTCACATGTTTAAAACTCTAACAAAGCTTTCAAATTCAAAGAAATAGAAATATTTCCACTTTTACAAATTAATCAGTGAATTCAATCAGAAATAAATTTAACTGTCAAAATTGCTTGTAGTTTTTTTGTGCATATATATACATATATACACACACATATATATCTATATATATATGTGATTTACATATATATATATGTAAAAAAAATAAATATATATATATATGATTTACAGAAAATGCCCACTCCCAACCAATATGTAGCATTTTCATTAATTCAGCAGGTTTCAGGTTAATTCAAACCCACAGCTTTTATTATTAGTGAATGAAAAATACATTTTTATAGTTCTTCTTCCCACCCACTCTATCTCCCCACATGTCAGTCTTGCACATGCAATACTTTATTTTTGTGAAGGTTAATTACATTTTACTTCTCACTATTCAGATGACCTACACTTTAAGGCCATGTAGCTGATTAGCAAAAAATTCCTGTAGGACAACCATATTTGTAGGTTTAGACTAAATGTTCTAGTACACAGCCAGAGGGCTTTTTTATGTGGCTGTTAATCTGTGCATCTTGGACACAGTCCTAAAGGTACTGTAAAACCATTCAAGCAGCAAGACATGTAAAACATTCTTGTTAAAGTTTACAAAAAATTCCTGTGTACAGATAGTTAACAGCTATTTTTTAAAAAAATCTTTTTTTCTTAAAAAAAATATCTTACCAGCCTATTTGAATGTTGTCCAACTTTTGAACTTCTTTTAGATATAATTTCGAGGACAGAAACCTAGGTGTTAAATATAACAATTCTTACACTTGGCATGCACACCCACTACCCAAGATTCCTTCTTTCTGTTCCCTGCCAAAGATATATATTCTGGAGAGAATACATATTCCCAACGCCAACAGCTGAGGAAGTTGCTGTAATGTGTTAGCTGCTTCCAGCTGGCCTTCATGAGAAGTAGGAATTCCTAAATTAAGGGAAAAATTGTCACTGGCAGACAGTAACAGTCAAAATGTGTCTTTCTGCCAAGACAA